ATGCTCATCACAGACTAACTAAGGCAGTTCTAGAGGATGTTCCTGCAAACAACTCCACTGCTTTCAATGACAAGTGTCCCTAAGACGATTCCTACTGCTTACCTCACTCAAGATTGCAGGACTGCCCTTAATACAGTTTGGCATAGAGTAAAACTAAAATCCATTAGGTGACCTCTGTCCATAAAAGGCAAATTTTGTAATAAAACCTCAATAATGTGCTTGGAAAGAAATCAAACAGGAACTAGAGATGAGGGCAGATGAGAGAGAGAGGGAAAAGGGAGAAAGAGGAAAAGGTGTGGAGAAAAGGAAGTTCACAGTGACACAGACTGTGAGCCATTGCTGCTGTTTGTATATGTATTGAGTTACCAAGTGCACCTGAGGCTGCCAGGTGAACAAGAACTTCACAGTTCTGCCCCACCAGTGAGCTCCCCAGCACATACTGTACTATGTTATTTATACCACAAGCACTCTGTGCAAATATGAAATGCAACTTTTTGTGTTTATGATTCTCTTCTGGAGAGAAAGAGGGAACAGGCTGCAGATGCTTCTGCAATCATTGTGAGGTCAAAAAAGAATGGGAGTTGAGATGGGACTTAAAAAAAAAAAAAAAAAAAAAAAGCAGCATCCACTACCAAATTAGAAAAGCAGGATTTTAAAGCTGGTGATTGCCACAATGGCTCCTGTGGAAAGATGCCACCCATGGGACCTTTTGTGCAGCTCTAAAATGGATCCTCACTGTACTGGGGAAAAATTTGAAATTCTGCCTTTTGACAGAAAAGTTCATCTGTGCTAATTAAGCTTCATGGGAATCTGAAGGCATTCCATATTCCATATTTCCATATTTTAGAGTGGAAACACGATAATGCACACATAATTTATATCTTTATCACACTGAAATGTATCTATGCATGCAAGAGGGCAACAGTGAAAATTTTCCAGTTTAGAATCTGCCTTTCTTGAATGTTTGATTTTGTGACCCTGATCCTGTAATTATATACTGCATTAGAAAAGAAAATCTACAATCAATTGGAAGGAATTACTGCAGAAGCTTACACACTGTATACAATAATTACCTTGCCTAAGTTCCTTGCACTTTACTTGATTACCTGCCCTCTCTCTAATTCAGACAGAGAAGCACAATGAAAGAAATATGTACTCACTTTGCCTTTTGTTCTCTCATTGGGAAAAAAGATTCTGTCTTGGCACTAATGTATTCTGCACAGCTCTAAAGACTAATATTGTTTCTGTTGTAGACATCAAACTTACAAACAATGAGGAGGCATTGCACTGAATCTATGTTCAGAGCTGAAAATATGGCACATCTTCTGTTAATTTCTCTTTTTTTTCCCACTCATTGTTTTATCCTAACAAAATTAGTAGTTTGAAATGTGCAAGTTTTTAAACCTACATGGGCAACATAGCTTCTATGTTTAAACATTCTAAATAGCAGTTTCTTTTAAATAAGGAATGCTCAAAACCCCACAACTGATGCTAAAACTGTGGGTTGAAAAAATCTGATAGTGACCAAGAAGGAATATGAAAATTTTGTCTTTTTTTGTTTTGGTTGGTTTTGTTTGTTTGTGGGGATCTTGGTTTTGGTTTTGTTTGTGTTTCTTTGGTTTCTTTTAATTAGTCTTTTGTATATTAATAGGAAAAAGGGGAGGGGGATAGAGGGATATTAATTTTCAGGTTTATATACTTCTGTCCATGTTTGCATTGCTGTCAGTTATTTAACGCTGTAACTGCAAAATTAAAAGTTACCATCATCTCTGAAATACCATGTGCAAGAGTAGAATTGGAAATTGTCTTTCAGCTGTTGACTGCAATAGTTTTGAAGCTTTTTGCTCTCCACATGCTCAGAGCAGCTGTATCTCAGATGCAAGAAATGAAAGAAAATTTAAAAAAAAAATTAAACAGGATTGGTTTTAGACTCTAACCTGGAAGGATGCAGCCTCTGGCCTGCCCGCCGTTGCTTCCTCTGGAAGGGTCTGCAGCTGCAGGCTGGGGAGTGGCGCGGCTGCTTCAGCACCTGATGCCGCTGCCTGCTCTTTGGCCTGAAGGAAAATACCCCAGCATCAGTGGTAATTCTCCTTCAGACACACCAGCGGGGATGAACGGTGGCCCCTTGAGCCCATTGAGTGGACTTGCTTTGATCACTGCACCTAACATCCATGAATAAAGTACGGCTGATTGAATTTTCGTTGCAAATAAATCTCTAATTCAAAGGGCTGGGAGAGAATGCTACCAAAACAAAGCACCTTGCCCTGCCCTGAAAAGAGAAAGGCCAAGGATATGGCACATATGTATTACTGTAAAAACACAGCACTTGCTGCATGACATTCACTTCCAAAGTTTGAAAGAAGCCAGTATGGAGATGGTGGTGGCACAAAGGAAATTTTCTATCGGCACAGTTTGCTGTAGGAGAAAGATGCAGTTCAGATTCTGTCACTTTCCGTGAACATTAAAGGAAAGAGACTAGAAAAAGATATCTGAAAATAAATAAATTAAATAAATAGCAACAGTTTTGGTGACCTCTAAAACTAAAATAGAGATTCCCACATTGCTGGGAATTAAAGATATAGTAAGGGAAATTGACACTCCCAGGTAACAAAATCACTTTTGCTCTGTGCTGCTCTAGATTAAAAACAGTTATGAAACCATCTGCCATGAGAGCTATAGTTGAAAATAGTCCTTTCTCCTAAATAATTCATATGTATAGCTTTGTTGGACCTTCAAATAGCTATAGTTGAAAATAGTCCTTTCTCCTAAATAATTCATATGTATAGCTTTGTTGGACCTTCAAATAGTCCTATATCAGGGCACAATTGCACAAGTCAGAGGGAAAACTTGAGATTACTATTAAGTTTAAAATATGATTTTAAAAAATACTATGGAAGTTTCCCACCATAGATTACTACTTCCTGCCTTTTCTTTTCCTATTGATGATGTTTCATAGGTTAAAGTAGCAGACCCAAGGCCAAATGTTTTACGGCCACCAAGTATGTGACGTTTTATTATTCAGTAGAGGGGTAACTCCACAACATTTGCCAATTTTTGGTGTGTTCCATTAGTCTTCACTTGTCAACCAGAAACAGTGCTCAGTGAGGGAAGGCAAATGAATTTTGTCATAACTTCTACATTCAGAAAAAGTTGTGTATGTGCTACAAACTTGCATTTTATTTCACTGTGGTTTTTTAAGATGGAACAAGTTGAGAGGGGAAACTTCAACACTAAGGAAAGGAAGTTGCTTTGCAACAACTTCTCTCATCCCCTGAGAATAAGCAGTTCTAAGGCTTTAGCTGATTTAGAAACACAAATCAGAGGCAACATGTCAAATTCTTACCTCATTCAGGGCAGCTTCCACAGCTGTTGTTTGACTAATGATCAACTCTTTGTCTCTATTATAAAAGAAAATAAAAGAAAACAAAACAAAACAAGAACAATGAAGAAAGCTTATGGAACTGAAACTCTACCAATGTAGAAATTAATCTTCTGCTACTTGATGGCTGTCATGTCTTGTAAAATAATTGTTGATAACCCAAACTATTAGGATTTTCTCTCTTTTTCATATTTCCAATGCAAACCCTAAGCATAGTTCATGTACCACTATTTGGTGCATTTCCATATGAAAGATGCTTCTGTTGAGGATAAGCAATTAAAATTGAGATAATTATAGGCCTATCAATGAACAACCATCATGGCTTGAATATAGAAGTCATAAAAAGTCTCTAGCAGGGTGGAATTATATTCTTGTATGGAAACCACAGACAGATTCTGTTTATTTAATCTCTTTTGTTTATATTCCAAAGGGAGAAATAAAACCTATAAGTTGTGAAGATTTGCTGTGATAATGGAGGGAAGAGTAGCTTTCTTAGTTGATATTCAGCTGCTATATACAGGAAAAAAAAATAAAGCCAGTTTTAAAGTTACTTCACATTAGAATCACCTTTTCTGGATATATATATATATATATGGCCACAAGGAATGATCTTTACTGAAATGCCCGAAATAGATTGGGGCAGGATGAAAAGGGCAAGCTTTCTGGAACAAATCTTTCTGCAGGTGACACCTGCTTTGATCAAATCCTACCAAATAACATTTGTCATTTTAATTAGCTCGTTAAACATTTAATTGATGACCATACAAATTGCATTATTTCCCTGGTGCATAAAACCCTTAAAGCTTCTCAGATATTGCTCTTCAGAGGTTGAATGATCCCAGGTATGATGAGAAAATTTAATTAACTAAAATTTTTTTAGATGCTAGCTGTGGAACAACAATATTCATAACACATACTTCATACCATGAAAAGACAACAGACAACAAAGTCTGCAAAGACTTATTCTTTTCATATGGCGTAAGAATTGGTTAGTAATAAGCTCCTTCAAGTCAAGGGGGCTCCTTTTGACTACCAATCTTTTCAAGACCAGTGCCTGAGCCTTTTCTGCCACTCCAGGTTGTGGCGTAAGTGGTGTGGGGATTAGGTCTAAATTCAAAACTCCCAAATCAGCAGGAAGATCTGTCTTGTACCACAGGAAAGGCGAGATCCAAAATGGGTTTCAGTCCCTTTGGCAGTGAAGACCTGTCCCCTAGCTGATGCTTCTGTATTTACTATAAATAAATTATATCTGCCTATAAAAAGTTAGCGTGGAAACACAGAGAACAAACAATCATTTCTTAAATAAACAGAACTTTAAGGATGTGCCAAAGAATTGTTGTCAGATCAGTTAGATAGCACAGGTATTTTGTTTGCCAGTTCTTTCAGCACCCAGAATTTGAAGCACTATTATGGGATAACTGCATAAAATGCATGACCTAATATTTTGAACTAACACTTTTGTTTTTAGAAGACTATGTCTGAATTTAAAAATAAAAGAGACAGATGTACTTTTCTCTTCTAACCTTACGCTGTCCAGGGCTAAAACCCTGCCCATGGAAGTAGGAATTTCAATTTTTGTTCATTTAAAGTGACATCCCCCAGGCCCCAGGGCTCACTTTACTCCCTGTTCAAGGGCACGTTCTGCCTCCCCGAGAGTCTCACACAGCTGCTTCTGGTCCTGCTCCATGTCTTTCAGGAGTTTCTCCTGTTGATCCAGAACTTGGTCTCTTTTCCTCAGCTCCTCCGCTGTGTCAGGGAGGCCCTGCCAGCAGACAGAGAGCAGAGTTACTCTGTAGCCCAAAGAAACTTTACTTTATGCCACTGGCTACTGACCAACGTGAAAGACAAACTGATTGTGAAGTACATTTGGACCACTGCATCCTAAGGTTTTATGAATTTCCTAGCAAAAGCATTACTGACTCAGAACCCCCCTAGTTTTTAGTAGATTTGCTATATATAAATGTGCTTTAGAATGCAAAATGATTGTAGGCAAAAAAAAACCCAAAACAAACCCCCATTGAAGACTTTTTCTTAAACTTAAAAAAAACAGATAGCTTAAAAAATTTTTAAAGAGGAGTCTTTGAAGTGTTTTCTCAGTAGCCTAAAGTTCCAGCAGACTGAGTAGTGCATGTGTATTTACTCCTGTTATTTTATTTACACAAGGACTGCGCTATTTGGCTTCTTTCATGAAAGGTAATACTCTGGTGACTGTTCCAGAAGAATAATCTTACCGTCGGAGATATGTGGCTTTTACTTAGCTCAGTAAATGAGTGTGATTCCAGTCTATTGCTCAGCTCCTGAATCCGTTGCTGCTGTTCTTGTAAAAGCAATTGTGCCTCATGCTCACACTGCAAAGCATTTTGTAACTCCTCCTGTACATTGTCTTGGTTGATTTTCTGGAAAGAGAAACAAGTTGTGCCTGATTCTGTAACTATATTCAGTGGTTTCCCTACCACTGAGTGAGTTCCACTTGCAAACATATCAAATTCTAAAATAAACTCATGCTTGTGATTAGTATTGAGGTTTCTTTACCATGAAGACATCACTGAACAATAAGATGGCAGACCAGTTAATTGCTGTGTTTTTTATAAAGAACATTCATGTAAAGTCTTGGCATTCATTATTCTATTCTAATTAGCATCGTGGGATGCAAAACTTCAGTATTTAGAAGGAAAAATATGCAGATCAATGTTCAGAATTTTAGTGGAGAGCTTCTTAACCCTTGTAAACACCTTTGTGGACTGCTCTTCTTGTCCAAAAACTGTTCCAGAAAGAAATAATTCTTCAAAGAAAGTTGTCATCTGCATTTCAACTACAATCTAATATGGGATAATTTTCATCTAACAGTCCAAAACCACTAAGGGCATAAAACCTGTTAAGAACAAAACTGAAGATGATTAGATATTTTGGAGTTTCAAAAAAAATCCATTTTGCTAGCTAAGAACAGGAAGGACAATGGGTGAGACATCATCTAGCAGATATTCTTTGCTTAGAAGTGTTTGGATTGGGACACCCTGACAGGTTCTACCAACTAGGCTTCAGGTTAGGGAACCCACAGTGTCTCGGTAAGTCAATCAGCAACAGCAAAAGACTCAGGGGAATGTTGTGCTACTGAGAATATAGACAAAAGCTTTTTCTCCCCCTGCCATAAAGTTACTTCTTCAGGGAAACAGACCCACTAAAATTTGTATTGTTTTATTATAACATTCATCAACATCCATTCAGAGTTTCAACTGCTATCTTTCTATTTCATTAACATTCTTATTGAATACCCTCATTCCCACTGACTTTATTCTGTTGAAATGAAATCTTCTTTTAGGATACATAAATCAGATCAACATTTTCAACAAATGGGAGAACCTGGATTGCTGAAGACCAAACTCTAATTTATACAGAATACCCCCTTCTACAAATCAAAAGATAACTCCAGTGGAAAAGGGATATTTCTAAATAAATCTGTCTTCTGGTTACGTGACATTTACAAGGCAAGATTTCTGGAAAATTCTGTTGAAAGTAAATCAATTTTATGCTTGTTTTCCAAAAAAACACAAATCAAAAAATGTGTAGAAAGGAGAATCTCTTTTAAGCAAGAGAGCCTCCAAGTCAAATGCACTTACTTGCTGAGCTTCACTTAATTGGGTCTGCAGTCTGCGGGCTTTTTCAGCATCTTTTTGCATCTCATTGAAAGCCCCTCTGCATTCTGCAAGCTGCAGGTGCAGTGAGCGGGACTCTACCTCTGCTGCATGAAGCCTTCGTGAAAATTCAAATATTTCTTGCTGCAAAGTTGCTATGTTTCTCTGTCAGCAAACAGAAACAAGTTGATGGGCTATAAAATCTGCTATTTTAGCAATAAAATAAATAATATTTAAGACTGAAGAAAAAGAAGACAAAACATAATTTTTCCCTCCATCTCTAAAAGACATACACAAGGACAAAAGTTTGAACCTATCACCTACCAAGAGTTACTGCAAATTCTGTTTACAAGGAAGTACTATTTTCACCTAAGGTTTACTATGAAGATTATTAGAGAAAGAGTTTATCCTTTCATTTTGGTTAAAGGGAAGAAGGTTATCTTTACTGAAAGAAAGGATGGTAAACATGAGAAAGTAGAAAACAATAATAAAAAGCAACCTTAACATTTACATCAAGCCAAAAGCAAATTTCTTATTATAAGCTAATACAGATCTGATAGAACTTGAAAAAAAAATCTTTTACTTGGATACACTAAACCTCCTCCAAAAATTCTTTCAAGAAAAGAAAAGACCTATTCACACCCTAATGTGTGACAAATCAACTTGTGGAGTGTCCACATAGTAGCACTTGACTGTCATGGACTCATCACCAGCCTGAAACCAAAGAAATGCTGCTATCAAGGGAGCTTCACTGTTGCTGTAAACCTTCTGTTTCCAGGGAGGAGGACTGTCAATCTGCTTACTGTGCTGGGCAGTCTGTCATGGAATCCAGCTTCCAGGGCCTGGGCATTTACTCTCTGGAGCCCACGAGCCAGCCTCTCTATCAGCGAGTCCCTCTCCAGGTAGGCTCTGCACCCACGAGCGTTCCCTTGAACTGTCTCCATCAGAACGCTCAGGTTGTCCATCAGTTTTGCAAAGCAGTTCCTGGCTGTGCCGATCAGCGAGTTACTAGAAAGCCAGAGCTCTGAATCTTGAAGAAAAAACAACAAAAAGGAAACATCGAGCGGGTTATTAGTTCCCATTCCTTGTAATATCACGTTCTTTTTCACTTCTACAGGATGGAACCTGTAAATATTCTGAAACACAGAATGCTGAATCTGAACCACTGTTCCAACTTTGCTTTTAAAGGATATGAATTCAATTTCTTGAAAACAGCATGATCAAAGAAGAAAGTGCCTGAAACTGAATCTAAAGACATTTGATTCAATGGCAACTTTGATACCAATTTAGTGTTTAGGCTTCTGGAAAATGCATCATCTTGTCTTTCTCCTGCTATTTCCCTTTATTCACATAAATTATCCCTCTTCTAATATCCCTTCTTCTGTGACAAAAATGTGGGGACTCTAAAACTAGAGGTTAATAAAGAACCAGGGATGGCAGAAATGCAGATGAACCAAGGGAACCTGTATCAGTTCTCACTGTAAATAAACTCCAGAAACACTCTCCAGCCTTCTGCTTCCATGACTCTATATACTGAAAGCATAAAATATCCTATCAGCTGCTTAAGAAAATTAATCTGTTCCAACAGTACAGAAATGTGATCATTCAGAGAATGTAGAAAAGAGTTATTATTTTACCCTGTAATCAAATTACTCTTTCAGGGAAACAGCTCCACTACAATTTGTATTGACTAGCTCAGGACATAACCTCTAGTCAAAGGTGTCTATCATAAATATCAGAAATATCTCTTCAGAGCTATGATCCAGAAGAGTTTAGATAAAATCATAAAAATGGAAATGATATGACCACCCTGACTTATTTATTTTTAAAATATATTTCTGCTACAACAATATACGGTTAAAATTACCTTGGTTGCTGAGAACACCCTCCAGTTCTGAGATGGAACTGATTATTGCGGTATAGAGGTTAGAGCTAGACAACCAGTTCACTGCTTCAATACAGTCAACTCCTTCCTCTCCAAAACCTGTGAAACGGAATTGCAGCTAGCAGGATAAGTAAATCACTAAAATATGGCACACTGCTGCCTCCGGCTCTTTCAGAAATTAACCAAAAATTAGCATTAAACAAGAAATTAGTCAGGACAATTTAGACTGTTTTAAGCATGCTTCCAGAATGACTAAACAACAACAACAACAAAAAAAGTAGATGAATCTTCTCATTTGGAAAACATTTTTAATACCATTTATCATTGTAGAGGGAAATATAAACTGGTCTGGCAACAGAAAGGGGCAATCTAGACATAATCCCTAAAGAAAATTTTGAAATCCTATGCTAATATTTTATCTGAATCAGAAAGCAATTTTTGTGGATTTTTAGGAAATAAATATTAAAAATTATTTTTAAAAAAAGAGGAAATACCTTTTCCAAAAAAAAAAAAAAAAAAATGGGAACATTGCAAGATATTTACCACAGAGAAGATGCTGTAGCACCTAGTTCTGAAATCCATAATGCAAATATCAAAAATATGAGATAGTGTTGAGTTCATGTGCATAATTGCAATTTTACCTGCAGTGCTTAACATAAGACTAGGCATTTCCTCTTAGAGTGAAATAAATTCGTCAAGCAATATAAAAATCATAAATCTGTAAATAGCATTTGTCAAAATGTCATTAAATATGTCTTTATGCCCTAGCAATAATAATATTCCTCTTTGTTATTCCCTAAGCATGTAATTTGATTTAACTCTTTAAGAACATTTCACTTACGTGTCACAGGATGCCTGCCTCTGGATTCTCCCAGACAAACTTGAATTCCAGAGCTTCCTCTGCATCCATCTGTCCAGATGAAAAAGGTACAAGAATATCGGGCCAGAGCCCTCAGCCTGTTAGCAGCCAGAACTGCGATCACAGCTCTTCGGAACACATAAACCAGGTTCTTGGCTCTTCTCTGCCTCAGCCTGCCTTCGTCCTGGTTTCTTTCCATGACAGCAGGGAGAGCATAAAGGAGGCTGACGATCTTGTGGTTCAGGAGTTGGTGCTGGTTCACCTGTTCCTGGAGAATGTCTCTTTGGCAAGACGTGGTGCACAGTCGGCCGTAGAGAGAGCACAGGGCCCCTGACAGCAGCGCACAGGCTGCCAGCAGGGATGAGCGTGCCTTGAAAGCATCTAATAAGGAATTTTTCAATGAATTGTTTTCCTGGGCCAGTTTGTCAGAGAGTTGTTCAAGGCCATAGAGTTTTTGCCTCATTTTCTGCGCCGTTTCTTTATATTCCTGCGACAGAAACAAACCAAACAATAACGGAAGAAACATTAACTACATGGTTTTTACCTAGACAAGAATGAAAAGAAAATTTACCTTTGCCATTCAAATGATGCATTAAAGGAGCAAAAGTTGTTAGTAATAATCATGATGAAAGTGTCTCTTCTAGTAAGGAATTACAGAATTAGATGTATGAAACAAAAAAAGTGGTAGGAGGGAAATTTACACGGTCATCAACTGCAAATGGACTCCTGATTTCTGAAAACAATCCACCAACACCGTGACAGCTCACAGAAGGTCCAACACCACCTGTCTGCCCACAAGACAGTTTTATGAATTGACTTAACAATAGTAATAACATCCTCCAATTTCAGAGAGAACACTGCTGTACTAAGCAGAAAACCAGTGTAAGTGAGAGGAAAAACGTAAGGAAGTCTGGAACATGAAAGTAGACAGATTAAATTTTTCAGCATGCAAAGACTTCCAGCCCTGAAATCTGCATCAAATACAGCATTATTCTGTGAAGTAAGTTGCAGTAACTCACAAATAACAAGGGACATCTATTTCCTTTATTCACAACACTTTTAATTGAAACAGGTGCGAAGGAATGTGCTGGTAAAGACAGTAAATGGTGGTTGTGGAATAACAGGGAACATTCTGGATTGCAAATAACTCATCTAACAAGGAGTGACAGTTTCACACTTTTAGGCCACTCCTCACTGTAGTATCAGAAAAACAGAGTTGCTTAACACTGTTGAAATCTACCACTGCTCTTCGGGTCAGTACATATGTAACTAAATTTATCCCCAGGTGATACCACATTATTGTTATTCTATACAATCTCTGCAAATGATGATGCTGAAAAAGTAGCTGCTGCCCTCAGTAATTCTCAAAACAAGCCAATTTGATCTTACAGCTTTAACATTCTCAGAAAAAGAATACTGCCATCTGTAGATGAAATCAGGCTTCTCAGCTGGGCCTGAAGACTAAATTCTCTTCAACAAATGCTTGATCAAAGTAATTTATTTCTTATTTTAAGTGATGGTAATATTAGCACAGGGATGGGTTGGCTTGTTGTTTGGTTTTGGATTTTTTCAAACTTTAAACGTCTACTAAAATTCCCAAATGACCTTTAACTGCTAAGAGGCTTCAACTATTGAAATAATCCATTCAATTTTTAAAGAAAAAACAAGTAGAAGTTCACAGTACCATACCTGTGATCTTGCATGAAATTCTGCAAGGACGTTTGAGTACTGCTGTTGAAGATATTGCTTTTCTTTCTGCCACCAGTGTTCCTGTGCTTTTAACTGTTCAGACATTTTCTCCAAAGCCTCCTCCTGGTTCTGCTGAAGGTCGTTCATAGTGTCAGTCTTGTGCTTGCAAATATATTCTAGGTGAGATATCTGTGTGACAAGCATTTAAGAAGAAATTATTATTTACCTTTTCACTTTAAGTTAGGCACAGACTATCCCAGCATCAAATCTAAACTGCAGTTTTTTCAATATTTTTATTAAAACTAAGTAAAACCCTTTCACAGCAGATGAATTACTTGGTTCTCAAAACAAAACTGAAAAATATTTTGAAACAAAGTATTTTATTTGGTTTTGCTATCCTTCTACCAGCTTGCAGAGATATTTGTCACCTTCTTTGCAGGAAACCTGAGCCAGACACTTGATATGGTTTTTTTTTAATGATTGTATTAAATTTTAGTAAATTAGTAATCCAAGTATATCCTTTAGAAGTTTGTGATGATTGCAAACAATAATTAAAACACAGCCTTTATTTTTTTTTTTGTTTGTTTGTGGTTTTTGGTTTTTTTCTTTTGTTGAAAAGCCAAGACATTCCAGATTATTACTAAGTTTTACAACAATTTCAGGGAATTCTAGCACAGAGAATTTTTTCCTTACAAGTAGCTCATAAGTTTAGGATGTATTTTCAACAAACATGAAGGGATTCACTCTTGTGGTTTAACAATGCACCTCATGCAAGCTAAATGGAGGAATGAACCAAGCCAACAATGATCCTCAAATGCACACCCCTGAACTTTCTGCTCCTAGAAAATATCAAGATACTTCCAGATAGACCACACTGAACTGTGTGGGAAAAAAGTTTTTTCAGCCCAGTCTAAAATCCCAGAAAAGCTGCTAAGTACATGAGAAGAGCCCTAGAGACCTCATAATCAGTCTCAATAACAATGCTTACTTAAAAAGCAAGCAACAATAAGACACAAGCCCTACAAACGCTGCCAGCTGTGTTCACCTTCCCTTCCCTTTCCTCATCTACTTCAAAAGAGAAATAAACCAGAACACAAAGTGATACCCTAAAGAGCTCTTCAGGCATAGCTTAGTCTCTGGAGCCAGCTGAGTTATTTTAAAAGGGGTTTTTCCTTCATAAAACCAGAAGGCTTTCTGGGGAGAAAGGCCATGTAAGCTCACTTGCTTTAAAACCACTCAGAAAAGTACAGCTCCTCCTCCCTACAGATCCTGACATGTTTTATAATAGGTATTTCTGTTGTGTTTCTGAATAAAAATGTCATAATCCAAAGTTACAATTCAACAAAAATCCCCACACTGGCATTCTTTCAAGTAGTACAGCTGAATCATAAAGACATAATTAAAAGGTGATATTCCTGGAGAAAGTGTATTTGGAATCTGGATTATAGTAAAAGAAAGACTTGATTTATGACTGTAAATGACTAGGTTCAGTGAATTTCTTCATCAGTAAGATGAATTTATTATCTTTTAATTAGGTTCCTGTGGCTACTATCAGATTGTCCTTTCAGAATATCCTGCACAGAAGGTGGAGCTGAGAGACTTGATGCACACTCCAGTCACATCTAAATGCCCCGGCAACAAAGTGAGCAGTGGACAAGCCAGAATTAATGGTGCTCATTTGTTAGTGTCCAAATCCTTTTGGGGGGATGAATATCAGTCCTTTTTAACAAGACTGCAGTGTGAGCAAATGTCACTGAGCTCAGCAGAGGCAGCTGATGCCTGGGGACACTCACCCTCTGGTTAGCCTTGCTGAAGTTCGAGACCAGGGCTTCAACATTCTCATGCAAGAGGGCACAAAGCTCTGCCCAAGGTAACTCTTCCAGGGGGACGTTTGTCGGTCTGGAAAGCATCTGGGCATTTGCCAGGGTCTGGTATGTGTTCAGGAGGATGGACATCTCCCTCTGGAACACAAAGAAAAAAATTAATTGCTGTAGCTGGGCAATGTTCAAATCAAAAGAGATGCATCCTATGTGTGGTAGCAGAGCTGCCTGCAGCTGAAAATGAGCCCTCAAGGCTCATTCTCACAGCTTTACAAAATTCCTCAGTTCATTTCTAATAATTGCAGCCATAATATTGCCTGATATTACAGCAGAGTAAGAAAACAGATTTCACAAAATTTATCTAATTAGACACAGTATGTAAATAAAGTATGTGAGTAAATCCCAGTCCTGTGGGGGCCACAACCATGACCTGGCACAGATAAAAATTTCCATGCTCTAGTGGATACAATTCATTCACCCATGTTAATACCTTGAGGTGCCTCCAAATTGTGCCCCAACACTTGCACAGCACACAGAAAACTGTCCAGTTGGCCTGGCAGCACAACACACTCTAAATTCCTTTAAAAATTTGTTTTGCACGGATTATATATGATTAAACAGCTGGCCAAAATGGGCTGACAGCTCCATCAGTCAAACTCCACAAGCTGTGCCTCATTTATTTACAGTGATTTTAATCAGTGGTATATTAACTTGATTCAGATTATAAATACATTTTAGCAACAACAGCATGCAGTAGAAATTCAATTCTTCATACTTTTAGTACATACAAGGGCCTTAGAAACTTTTTAAAGTTAAGATCATAGAAAGCTGTTTCTCAAATGCTGTATTAGTACAGTCAGAGATCAAGATAAGATTATCAGACTAGAGTGGAAAAACGTATTCAGGAAGCATAAAAATGGTATAAAATATGAAAAAATACTGTACAGGTCAGGAAAGCAGGAAGGGGAAATGAGGGGAAGAGAACACACTGACATTTTTACCCAATTTAAGCATGGGTATAGCAAAGACCAACAGCAATATATTAAATGTTATCTATACTTAGTTTCTGCTACAGTCTTCTGCTTTTTCATTTTGTGCAGCAAAATCAGAGCTATCTCAGTGGAGTAAACAGGATCACACACAGGCACTTCTGCTTCCCAAACAAATACAAACAGCTTTGGGAAAAATGCAAAGCCATCCAAGGCCATAAATACCTGATCTCATAAGGCAACCACTAATACAACTCTTCCAAAAATGAATATTTTTATCACCCGCTCAGGACAGTCTTGTGGTTTGAACGCCTTTGAGTAAAATAATTAAAACAACCAGCTCTATGAATATGACAGTGAGCTAATTATTATTATTTTTTAACCTTTCAATACCATAACATTAATTTTGAGTCTAGCATTAAATACTGTTTCCATTACCAGAAATCTTGATCATGAATGGAATCTTGTCCATAGTTCTTGTCATGTCATATATTTTACTAAGGAATACAAATAAAAACGAAAACTCCTACCACAGCAACAGCTAGCAAGCACTTCAGGTTTGGAAGCAAGCACTTCAGTAGAATATTTTCAGCTTGCAATTGTGTTTTGTAGTTAGAAATAGCAATCATTAATGCCTGTAGTTAGGGCAGACAGTTGCTTTTCTCTGTATGTATTCCTTTTGTGCCTGATGAAATGACTTTTTCAGGCTAACTAGGCCAGCAGATGTCTTTTAATACATTAATGCTTGCATGGAAGAAGCTGTTATTCTCCCAGAAAGAAAAAAGAAGATCCTGATTTTATTTGTCTCCAGTTTATGAATGACAGATCTGCCTGGGCAGTGGACAGCACTAAGACAAGGTGTGGAATAACTCCATCAGCTGAACAAAAGACACCCACAGATCTGAAGACTCTCTGATGCAGGTCTCTGCTCCTCTCCACAGGGAACAGACCTCATGTACCCTCCATGCTCAGAGCTCTGACAGAGAAAGAGGAGAAGTTTCCAAGCTACCAGCAAAAAAATTGAATATTGCTAAGAGTAGAAAGAGAGCAAATGTAACCACACAATGAAAGAAGAGATTTTCTAAACATGCTGACAACTTTCCTTTGTCCCTGCTGCTGTGCAAAGAGATGGCAAAATTGTCATTCAAGGTGTAGCTGGGTAAAGACAGTAGAAAAGCCCAAAGTGGTCATATAAGAGGACAAAGTTCAGAAAATAATCCAGCAAAATACATCCAATGTGCCAAATCCACAGCAAAACAAGTAAAAAACAAAACAACAACAAAAAATCCCCTCTGCTTTTCCACCTGAAAGCTTGAAATAATTTTCAAGCAATTTTTACAGTCAAATACTTGCACTAAAACTAAAAGGGTGTATGAAATAAAAAAAAAAAAAAACATTTCTACAATGATAGCTCAGGAAACTTGACAAAAAAGTTAGGTAGAAAGAACATTCTTCACATGAAATGATCATCAATATCTACAAAATGCCTTAATTAGGAATGCCAGTACATCCTACCCATACTTAAAAAAAAATTTCAAATTAGTGTCTCCAAGGCATTGCTTACATTTATTCATGTAGTAAATTTTTTTAAAGGTAACATAATAACAAAAAGGGTGAGAGAATGGCAGAATTCTGCCACAGCTCAGCGCAGCAAATGCAGCAAATTCTCCCCACAGTCAATATTTTGACAGTATGCTTTAAAAAACCTAAGCAATGTGTGCCACATTTTTTTTCTTACTACTGAGCTTTTTTTTCTATTTACTATTGAGGCTTTTTTTCCTTACTATTGAGCCTTCCTGCAGGCTGAAGCTGTCTGGAGGAACCACTAATGTTGCATTGGCATCTTGAGCTCTCTTCCCTTCCTCAGCCTGGTCTTTCCGTTGCACACCGGAGGATAAACGCTGTCCTTGTGAACTGGAAAGTTTCCACAAAAAAGATACTTTAACCAAAATGACTTTTGTCAAATGCACTGTGTTCTTTTAAAGGATAATCAATGGATATGACAGATACTACTTTAGCACCACACATGGATTCTGAAGCTGCTTGCCTTTCCTAATTGAATGAAGAAATTTATATTCCTTCTAAGGAAGATTTTTCAAGAGGTAATCTTTTCAGTTACCAAGCCTCGTGTCATGCAATTCATAAGATTATTTGGATGTGGCCTCAAAGTTACATGTAACAAACAGAATTTTTCGTATTTTAATTAACACAACAGCTGTCTTCAGAGTGACCGTGTCACATCTTGCATCATCAACCCTGATTTCAAGTACAGTTCTTGCTCTCCAGGTTTCCACATGCCTGACTCTACTCTGTCTGGCTTTTAAAGCAAACTATCCAGAATTTTAATCTGTTCTTGTACTGTGTCACTCAGGAAAACAGATCTATCAAGAGCCTGGCATGACTAAACAGGCAGCTGATGAGGAAACTCCAAGGCCAAGCAATAGCATAAAGGACACAGAAGCACAGAGAGGGAATCCAAGGAAGAGTTTTAAAAGAATTTTAAAAGATGGTGTCAGGAAAGCCAAAAGCTTGCTTCAAATTGATGTTTGCACAGGATGACAAAGGCTTTTCCAGCTCAAGTTTTAAATATTTTACTAAAAACATGTCCATAATCATGAATCTTGAATGAGTTGCTCAGGCCACAAACTTCCTTTCTTGTGGGAAAACAATTTTTTCCTTCTCCACTGCTCCTTGTGTGAGTAAGTCAACATAAACACCTGTGTATACAGAGCCATATAGCTCTAAGCTGAAAGAGAGCTCACCCAAGTTCTGCTACCACAGGCACAGCAGACTGTGCTGGCCAGGAAACATCCCAAGAGATTTCCTCTGCTCTCACACTTTTCAATATTTTTTAACCATTTAAAGCTTTCTACAGCCATTCAAAAGTTGAAAACAAAGATTATCCACTATAAATGATACACAACTTCTTGACAGGAGTTTTAGAGATCCAACTGACTCACTGAAGTGGAAAACCATGTCCTCATAATAATTGAAGTGTATATAGAAAAGCCATCTTTTCTAGACCTGCTGGATATCTTTTCCTACACTCAGCCGAACCACTACTGGACCCTGGACCTAACCATAACTATGATTTGCAACATTGTTGGTTTGGCAAAAAATCTGTAGCAGGCCAGTTATTATCTGTACCATTCACAATACCTTTGGTTACTGATATGGGCCTATTATTAATGGACTGCCAGGTTCTGAACCTTTAGTTTGGTTTGGCACTATGCACCAGATTTTCTGCTGACTGAAAAATGCAGGGAATGTAAACTGCGAGTTGTACTGAGGCTGTCTAGTGCCATTTTGCAATGGCTTTAAAAGGAAACTTACTCTTTTTTTCCTGTCTCAAGTGCATTTACTGGCTCTCTGAACTCTTCCCTTGCTATCCCTTCTGGAAAATCTTCTCTCCTGCCGCGATGCCCTTCATTCAAAATGTCTTCCAGTTCTTGAATTCTCAACTACCAAGTGATAAGAAAGCAGTTAAAGGAAGTTAGGAAAGACTGCCATGGTCTTTAATGCTCTTCACTGTTCTGTTCTGCTTTTTATAGGTGAATAACTTCTATTAATTCTATATGGAATTAGAAAGCATTTAACACACATAAAAATGGATTTATACATAGAGTTCAAAACAGAAAGAAATAGATATGCTGACCCAAAGCACCTTTTGTTCTCCTTGCATGGTGTTTGGATTTTCCTGTTTTCAATTATTTATATTACTGAAGTTTTCCAGGGGAATTCTATTCATTAAGTAGACTCATAAAAGGGTAGGATTAACAGTAAAAGCTACACTTGCACTCAGAGCAAAGCTCATGTGGAGCTTGTTCACGTACAGAAACAAGGAAGAAAACCTTCTGAGGTCTTCACCCATAAAAGATAAATCTCTAACTTCACGGAATGTTACTTTTCCAGCTCCTTTGTATGTTATAAAAGTAGAGAGGGAATAAAAAAACCTGAATCATCACAATTTATTTAATCATCACTTCAGAAATCCACGTGCCTGTACTTAGAGAAGGTCATAAGAAAATAACTGACTGAAGAATTGGCAATGCTTGTTTGTGTTCCTCAGAAAACCAGAAAAAAAAAATGAAATTCTCTTTTGTTTTCTCATTTAGTTCTTCAAAAATCCACTAGGAAGGCTTCCTTAGTCACTACAAGATCACTCAACAATCATCTTACAGGATTTTCACTTTTTTTTTTTTAATAAACCCTAATTGCTTTAATGGATCAAACCCTCTGTGACACAGTTTAGTGATACAAAAACTTAATATTCAAGTATACATATTGCATTTTTTCATATATTCAAACTTTTCTGGTAACAGCAGGTGTAATAGCTGAAATGTACTCTGAATATTACATTTGGAACTGCAGTCTCAGGATGCATTAATATCTCACACCTAGAGAAGCTGGATGAATGCACTCTATCTCTGAAATTACCTAAGTGCCCATTCCAAAGATATAGGACAGAATATCTCAGCAGTTTAACTATTGTGAAACATTTCCTTTCCCCTCACTCTTTCAATGCTACTTTGAATTCTAAAACACAAGAATGTGTTTCCGTATCTCCTGGAAATCACGGAGATATTTTTCTATTACCTTTTACAGTCTTGACAATCATCAATCATTGCAAAAAATCTACTCAGTGTTTTCACTGGAGCAAGGAAGTCTGAACATTTTTGGAAGATTGCACCTTTACAAGTTCATCTTCCATTTTACTGCAAACTTCTACCAAATATTTAATCAAAAGTTTACCTGCATGACTTCTGTAGTGTATTTACATTCTACATGTGCTCGTCTTGCTGCTGCAGCATCATCCTCCAGTTCCTTTATTTTCACTGCAGCTGCCTAAAAGTACATTTTAAAAATATCTAAGTCCGGAAAGATGATGACATCATGCAAAGACAACTTAATTTCTTCAGTTTATTAGGTCTCCATACACCAACCTGTGGTATCTGAACTACTTGCACTTTGGAACTGTGAAAACTCATGTCAATAAATAAATGAAAGGAAACAATTACATATCCAGAATATTAAAGTAATATTTTCTATTTAGTTAAAGAAATTGATGTAGGATTATGTTCTTGCTACAGTTTTCATAGTCACAGATACCTGTCTCTATCTAAAAGCCTGGACATGGTATTTCAATTGAAAAAATGTTTTTAGCAGAAGCAGTAACTACAGAGCCGCTATAATAGAAATTCACATGAAATTTTAACTACATTGTTTCCTATCAAAAACATCATCTCACTTTGACTGATGATTGATTTGAAAAGAACAATACACCCCAAAATGACTTCTGCCTTCAAGTGATGCCAGAAAGATGAAGAAAAGGACATTCATATTAAAAGTAATTTAAGACACTCAAGGTTACACAGATATAAGTCAAGTCATTGATTTTGGACAGCTAAAGCAAAGGAGCAAGCATGTGAGACTGAATCCTAACTCCAAGCACTTCAGTTAGGGAAACGTTAACTGAAAAATAAATTAATACATAAAATGAACATACGAGCTGTTGACAATAAATTTAAAATCTGTATAAGCTCACACATTCACAAAAGGAAATAATTGAGAAACAGAGATCTGTGGAAGGCCTATTAAAGAGAAAGTCACAGCACAGAGCTTACCAAACCCACTCCACAAAAGCATCAGCCAAAAGGCTTAAGCTTTGCCTCCTCCCACAAGATCTATCTGCTTAAGATGCTTCAAGAAAAAATAAAAAAGTCACAAATCCTGCGCAAATACTCCCTCTGTACCCATATTGCTAAGAGTACTTTCCCAGTGACATAAACCCCTTTCCATCTGCAGTTCAAACACCACTCTCAGGTCAGGCTCGCAGCATTCACCTCTGAATCCACCTTTCCTGCCAAGTGATGCTCTGCATTTTGTTAATCAAACACGGGGCACTCATAGCCTAACTCAGAGGTTTCACCCCTCAGAAATGAAACTGCTCAGTTGTGCCAGTGCTTGCTGAGGCTCCCAGCAGCAGGCAGAAAGCTTTACCTCCAGTTCTTGGAGGAGCCTCTCCTGCCGTTTATTCTTGATTTCCAGACAGGATGCCTGGAGCTTCAGCATCTTGCTGCAGACACTGTGCTCTGCCTCCATATCCTTCAACTTCTTGGCAGTGCTTTGCAGGGCAGCATTAGTTTTCTAAAGATAAATAGGTAAAGGAATAAATCAATACATCAAGAGGCACTTTTTCTAAGATAAAGTATTGCGGTTGAGAGTTCAGCTGCAGTTTGAGAGGAATGGAGACTGCATCAGAAGATGATGTTAGAATTTTAAAATCTATGACGCCAGCACACGTCAACAGAAGTGTTTACCCAACAGCAGACATGCTTTTGATTCACCACCAAGAAATCTGTGTTGGCCCAAAAATCACTGTGAACATGATCTTCTGTGGCAACACGAAAATCAGAGCCAGATCTCCACTGGAAACCTTTCCCTAAAAGAGTACAGCCCTTCCAATCTCTTCTGTCTCCCAGCTCAGTGGCAATGAGAGAAACAGAGTGCATTTGGTGAAATTATGCATGGGGACAAAAGTTCATTTTTATTATGATTTTGATTGCTGAAACTTCAGATGTTTTTAGAAACAGTTAGTCCCACAGACTAAATAATTTTGATTTCTGCTTTTCTGAAAAGCATTTTCTCCTTTCTAGAAACGGAATTTAAAAACTGATGAAATAAGAAGTCCTCAGTAGAATAAAATGATCTGGTCCCCACTTCAATTTCTGCATACAGAAATTGAACTCAGCTACAGGCTGGAAGCGTTATTGACATTACTGGACACTGCAACTCCGTGAAGTCACTGCTACAGAATCCCCATTGTCCATATGAATTTGGATTAAATTTAAGCTAATCCTCTAGCTTTGCATGGCCAGCAAGACAGGTTTCTACCCTTCAGAATGCAAAATAAATAAATAAAGAAGCCAAAATAAACTGTTTTCTACATTTTCTAACATTTCTTCTCTATATCTGGAAAGATACAGAAATATTTATTTCTTCAGGTTTATCTTCCAAATATTAACAAATATGAACTGGGAAATGTGAAATAAATAACAGATAGTTTGCTGTGAAATACAACAAAAAATTTAAAAACATTTTCTACTGGAAATATAATTAGCATTAGAAAACTAAAACTGTTGTGAGTATATCAAGCTCGTTAAAAAGGTCGGCATGAGCTGCAGGATTTCAGAATTTTGAAGAATTTCTAAACTTTTTGGAGGTGATATGACTGTTGAATACTATCCCCGTAGCCACCTGCAAATATTTGCTCATGAAAAACACAGCTGGTCTTTTTTTTTTCTTTTTTTTAAACCGTTTGTGAACGACACACTCTCCCAAGTATTTGAAGGGAAAAAACGTGCAGGGATATGAACTCCTGCCTATCCACGAGGTGATGCTATTGCCCTTCCTATCGAATCCGACCCCTCCTATCCTGGGCCAGGATCCGCCCAATAGATCCTGTCACACAGCAGGGAGGGTGATTTTTTTCCTGCGTGCTCGTTCCAGAGGCACATTTCAATACTCCATGACTCCACTCCCACGCCTACCTCAGCATTTTCACAGCCAAGTTCAGAATTACGGTTTGTGCAGTGTAGTTTTTCCAGTCAGGATTTGCCTACATGCTCAGAATCCCACTTCTCTGCACGTATTAAGACCACAATTAAATCTCCTTTCATTTTAGAACTCATTTCATTTTATAACTCAGAATAACTCAAGGAGATTTAAATTTGGGCCTATAAATACACAACACAAAAGACTGCAATGCATTCAAAGTCATCATTTATAAACCCAGATATTTCTGATGTTCATCTGACAAGCTTAAATGAATTAAGCTTTCAATGCGGTTGAGTCAAGGACAATCAAGATGTAAGATTTTTTTATTTCCCAGAATTTTATAATTATACGTAACATAACTCTAGGGTGATGGGCAGGGGAGCAGCTACAAAAGCAAAGTGGAAAAATGTAACATTTTTACTACTGAAGGCAGGTTAGGGTTTGGCACCTAGCAGTGAATCACATTTTCCTTTCAGTGAGTTTTGAAAGTCCTGAAAGACTTCTGAGTCCAGTGACATCAACATTCTGAAACCCTACAGCTCACTCTGGCCTGTTTAACGAGCTACATGTATTCATGGCAATCTTAGTCTACTCATGTGAATTCCATTTCCTACAAGTTTGTAGCTTTAATACATTTACCAACAAAACCCCTTCCTCTACAACCACTGTCAGAGAACACTGCCAGGGAACTGACAGAGAAGACAATGTCCTGAGCCATACACTGCTCCTTTTGTCCTTTTTCAAGGACAAACATCACTCAACAGAGCATGGAATACTTTTTCAACACTGATTTTTGATGCAGCATTAAACTCTCTGAAGGTAGCTTCTACAAAACACTGTGCACAACAGAAGGCAATACCCTCCCAGAGCCTCCTCAAACTAACTCAGCCACTCACTGTTAGGCAGAACTCAGAGCTTACCCTGCTGCCCCTGGCAACTTAAAAAAGAAAACTCTATCTAAAAGTAGGCTTCTTCACAGCCTATGTCCTGCCCTACCTTTACAAGAATCAGCTTTGAATAAAAACTGGCTTCTTTTGAGAAGGACATTAGGTCCTGTCCGCAGCTCCTGTCCTGTCCACAAGCTCCTCTGTTTTTCACTACCAGCATTACACACTAAGTGTAACTTCATAACTCTGTAACTTCATTACTTCTGTAATCTTCAGAACTATTCTGCAGTATTTAGCTATTTGGGGGATTTTTTTTCTCCCTTAAACCCAAAAAACTCCAACCCACCACACACTTGGCATCAAAAGCTTTCAGCCAGCATCTCATGGAACTTTCCATCTATTACTACATCATACCTGAAAAGCCATTTTGGCTTCAGCTTTTTCTTTAAAAAGGAATTCTAGCTCAGCAAGGTGTACTCTGTGGATGTTATCCATCTCCACTGCAAAGCTTTGAACTATTTTCTCAGTCTCTGCTGCTTTCTGCTGGTGTTTGTCATTCATCACTGTTGTTTACAAAAAAAAAAAAAAAAAAAAAAAAAAAGCAAACAAAAAAAAAGAGGAAGTGGAAAAGAAAAAAAAAAAAATAAGCATGTTCAGAAAAAAAAAAAAGAGTATAATGAACATAAGTTCCTCTGTGTATTGTGGTATCCTGTGAAACACTGGAACAGTAACACTTCCAGTTTCACTACAGAGAAACAATCACATCTTGTGTTCCTGTAGCATCTTTCACACAAGGACATAGAAATGCTTTGGAGATTTCTCAAAAGCATTGAGAAAATTAGATTTCAAAAAATTAGATTTCAAATTTAAGCTCTTCTCCCTTTGGAAAGGACTAAAAATTCAACTCTTTCAAGTGAGGCCTCTATAGCATAGGGAACTTAATAACTTAATTACATTTTTCTGCAACACTTGGCTAGCTTATTGCCAAATAGTTATGAGACACTTCAGTCTGTATCAATTAATTTCAAGCTCAGTTTAAGTAACAATAAGGACAGACACCCGCTACATGAAAATGATTCGAGGAAAACCTTAGGCAGGTTGGGCTAATGAGCAAAGGCTTAGCTTTTCTGGGGAAATTTACTGCTGCTCAAGAGATTTAAATCTTCAGCCCAATGGCTGCCCCAAGATAGGGAAATACTGGATCTACTTCTCTGTGAAAGCTTAAATGCCAAGGAAGAGTTCTTTTCCTAAAAGCAGTTTTACTAGGAACTTTGCTTCATTTCACAAACTCAGTTAAAATATTTTGTATTATTTGTTTATGTTACTGAGTACAACTAGCTATGTTGGCATTTATGTGATCACCACTTTCTAAGAGATTTTTACTTCAAATTCATCCTATTCTTCTGCAATTTCTTCCTAGATGGAGAAGGGTGAGAAAACCAGAAGAGACATGTTGGGAAAACACAGAGAATTTGTGGACACAATGATGGAAAAGACCTGTCAGATGTCAGGAAGTCAAACCTCAAGAAGAACAGCAGAAAAACATCTTGGAGAAAATACTAATGAAAGGGCACAAGTGAGGTGCTCTGTCCAAGAAGTTAAGTTGAGATTGTATCCAAAACACCACACGAGGTGAGCAAGGCTCCAAGGGATAAGGAAGAAGAAGTAGTAAGTTAAAAACTGAAAAAGAAATGAGAAGAACACTACAAGTCTTTGGCTTCTTTGACATTTGTCACAATAAAAACAAAACCAGGGGGGAAAAAAACCAACAAAGAACAAAACAAAACAAAACAAAGAACCCCAACCAAAAAAAAAACTGTTTGCGAAATTTAAACCAAGATTTCTGTAATCTGTGTGTTCTCCAAATGAATGAAAGTGCAGAATTCTTATTATCTTTTTAAAAAACCTGGCAGTATAAATGCACTTTCAAGTTTCAGAGTCTCCTTCCATCCTTGTAAGGTTACAAACTCCAGGAGTCCTCCAATCTTTTCAGTGAACACCAAAGATTCACAAATACATCTCCTGTACTGAATTTAAACAGTATTATATTTACTTATGTAACAATAAAAAAAAAATCTCCCCAGCTTTTAAGAGTGAGAAATCCCTCTCTGTTTGAGAAGGATTAAGAAAATTTGAGTTTCTGAATGCAAAACTAGTAGGGGGAAAATGTGTAGGTAAAACCCTTCCTTTCCACATACTACTGTCATAACCCATGTTATTTGTATAAAAACAAAACCAAAGATGACATGAAGAGGCCAGATATGAGCAACAAAAAGCCAGAAATATCTGAAAAGGTGAAAGAGAAAAGCAGCACGATGAGAACTCCTGGGGGAAAAAAAAAAAGTTTTTGGAAAGAGTGTAAACAAATAAACAGGATTTGATTTTATTTTTTTTCCCCCCTGAAAATAAAAAGGAAGAATGGCTGGATATAGTGATAAGCAGGAAGTGGAGAGGGACTCCTTAATTACAATTCTGTACACACTGAAGGAAGGAAAAACAGAAGGTAAGGAGCAAGAGAAAAAAAAAGGTATTGATAGGCTTAGCAGGTTATATTTAATTGGTATGAGACAGCAAGGGTTTTGCAAACTCTTATGAGTTTATAGAAGCAGATGAGTAAGACATGGGAAAATAAGAAAATAAGAGACTTTCCAAAAAACACTGTAACTGTAAAACCTTGTGCAATCTCTGCTTTTTTAATGACTTGGGACTGATGTAGCCTCTGGCCTATGATTTTTTTTGTTTTTTTGAAAATTACCTTGAAGTTCCATAACTTTAGCTTTTGCATCACACAGCTCCTCCTCTGCAGCATAGAGCAGTAAATCAGCTTCTTTACTAGCAAATGTCATTTCACTCTCCAGATGTTGACGAAGAGCTTCTCCTTTCTCAAGTTCCAATCTTAATTTCTTTATTTCTTTTTCATAGCGAGACATCTAGAAAATAAATATTTCAGAAATTGCATTCATAGCTGGCATCTTATCCCATCTGATTTTGAAATACAGTCTTGAAACCACACATTTTAGATCCTTTTATTTTTTTTATGCAAACTGTTCCTAGATCATTTTCATGTACCTTAAGTGTACCTCTCTGTTTTTCCAAACATGCTCTGCCTTAAGAAAATAAAAGCTACAATTATATTTATTCCACAGGCAATTTTATGGTAACTGTATTTACAACTAGAAAAGCAGTTGTGTTGGGATACTAGATTATCAGACACCTAGGAACTCACTATGTAAACACAAACTTCAGTCCAATGATGTTCAGCAGTCAAGCAGAATGCTATTAAACACAACAAACAAAACAAAGAAAAGGCTTCAAAAAGGATTCTTATCTGGTGTAAGAAAGATAGTCCAGTCACCACTGCCAAAAACTGGAGCGAGGAAACCACATTCAAGCCATTAGAACTCAAGAAGGTCAAAGTAAACCATGAATTTCTTCAGAACATCTACAGAGCAGCAGCATCCTTCATGGATGCCCCATTCATAGGAAATAATTTAACAGAAGCTCCATTCATAGGAAATAATTTAACCCCATTACAAAGGTTTTCCCTGATGCTCTTGTGGCAAACTAGAAGCTAAATGAAGTAGCAGTGAGAAAAGACTTCATTAAAATTTTCTTTACTTTGAATTTTATTACTGCTAAAAGTAACGATTCTGCTCTTAGCAGTTTGTTAGGGGCATCTGGTGTGGGTGCTCGTTCATCTGTTTCCTGCTAAACACAGCCAATAAACCCAGTTTGTTGTTCCCTATCCACTTATTTAAGGATTCCTGCTTCTTACAGAGTGACTTGCCCTTGTCATGATCCCGTTGCTCTGTCAATGGTGGGGTGATTCTGTAAAATGGACCCCTGGAATTCCTGGGATTAAAAGACTCAAACAGATAAACAAACCACATCTTACCTTGAGAATTTCAAAGCTGAGGGTGCAAAATATTCTTCTGCATGATTTTACTGTTGTGTAGTGCTCAAGTTTCTTACACACACCTTCAGCTATTATCAATGACGCTAAAAGTGATATCAGTTTCTAGGGACGGGCATGAGATGTCTGTACAGTGCTACTTTGTTATTTTCCAACTACTGAATGTCATTTTGACTCACCTGATGAGAGGATTATTTCAAGGAAACAAATTGCATTTAAGGAAAGAAATTACATTTATTCTAAGGGTAAAATAAAGCAAACAAAGAAAAAAACTCCTTACCTCTTGATTGTGTTGATTGTTTAATTCCAAATTTATTTTCTCCAGACTATGGAGTTTCCTTCTCAGATATTCAATAGTGTCCATTTCCATTTGATTTGAATTCTGAGGCAATGGTAACTCTTGTAACTGATTATCTGAGCTGAAAAGTGTGTTTTGAAAAAACATGAGCATTCCTTTGAAGTTTTAATGCTTCTTTACCTCAATTACCCAATCATGGGTCCAGAGTTTTAAACCTTCACATAAGTAAAATTATTTTGTGCAGTTTTCATCTTACTATTGCTCTTTGAAGAAAGGATTATATAGAATTGCTTATTGTGCAAGATATGAGAGATGTGGCACCAGGAACGTAAAAGAGAGATTCACTTTCCATTAATAAAGTTGATTTAAGCATAACATATTTATTATTATTTTTTAGTATCTTTGTTTCCCAAAATGAACTTCCATAATTTTTGATAATTAACTTCCAGGAGGCTTAGAAACGTAATTCCAATTATGTGAGTTAAAACAACTGCAAGCTTTTTGTCTCCACAAAAAGTCTCATTTTTTAACATTAGTTACCATCTCAAAACCACCTCTGTCATGAAACAAATCCACAGATGTGGGAAAAAAACCTCTCTTTTTACACTTTGTCTTCTGAGATACATACATTCAAACCACAGACATGCAACTGATCACAGACGCAACAGAATTTGAAGGTTTAGTCCTCCAAACTACCCTGTTTTATCATAATTTCCACTACTATTTTAGTTAAAGCAAAATCTACTTGGCAATTAGCAGAATCAGCCCTCAAGCACCACAAACAATTACAAAAGAGTCAACACCAAGTTTCTATAAATAAAGTGAAAAATTTATACATACAATATATAAATTTCTATATATACACACACACAAACATGTATAGATACATATATGTATATGCTACATATATATATATATATATATATGCATATACATATAAATAGTTACATTAAAAAATATTTATTAACCAGGTAAATAATTTAAAGTGAAATTATTATAACTTCAAACTGGAAAACTTTTCAGTTATTTCAGTTCTTGAATATCAGTGTTCACATTATTTGATATGTTCATTTTCACATTATTTTAAGTACGTAAGACTGCAACAATTATTTTATCCAGACTTGCAAAAGTGCAAGAGTTTATGGGCAATAAATGTGAAATACACTGATAAAAGAAACATGATTAAATTAAGCACTAAACTGGTATCATATAATG